CCCCGTCTCTACTAAAAATAGAAAAAATTAGCCGGGCGCAGTGGCGGGCGCCTGTAGTCCCAGCTCCTCGGGAGGCTGAGGCAGGAGAATGGCGTGAACCCGGGAGGCGGAGCTTGCAGTGAGCCGAGATTGCGCCACTGCACTCCAGCCTGGGGGACAGAGCGAGACTCCGTCTCAAAAAAAAAAAAAAAAAAAAAAGAGGAAGGTGGGGGAAAAGTCTTTTGGGTAACTGCCAAACTTCACCTTCATACAATGGGCCCCAGTAAAACAGTGGGCCTTAACAAGCACATTCCTTTCCCTCCAGGTGCACTAAAATAGGGAAGCTAAAAGCAGACTTGGGGGGTATCCCTGCAGCTGCAGAAAAATGTATAAAAACAAACACACCACTCTCCCTCCCATATAATCACAACAACAAAAAACACAGAAGCAGTCTAAGCCTCTAATAAACTCTCCCACCCTAAATCTTTAAAAACTCTTAGTCTGTAAAAAAGTGTGACTCTGACCTAACTCGGCCAGCAGCCCCTCTCAGGTGTGTTTTCTCTAAAATAAACCTGTCTTAACCATCAAGCCACCTTTCATGTTTCTTTCCTCTTTCTTTAATTCTTACACTGACCTAGTGGAGGCTTGGCAAGGATGCTTGTATCAAGTGGGTCACTTCTGCACTATCTATAGAGAAGGAGAAATGGCTAAAAGTAGAGATACCAGGTTGCCAACAGTGGTTACTTGGGGGGTAGCATTCAAAGTTCTCCAAAGCCCCTAAATCAATACTCATTGAGTTTATACAGACAGGCACAGAGCAGTGAAAAATGTGAGTTGCACTGGGAAATGTTCCCAGCTGAGTTGACAAAGCAATGCTCTGTACTGTTTTGGTTCTTATACAAAGGTGCCCAGAGGATGGAGATGGTAGGTAGTGTAGGGCAGTGCAAGAAGCTCTAGCTCTGGGACCAGTTGGATTGGGTTTGAATCCTAACCCGGGCTCATGTTAGTGGGATGGCCTCAGTCAAGTCACTTAACACTCAGGATCTCAATTTCTCTTTTGTAAAACAAATAGAGGCCAGGTGCAGTGGCTCATGCCTGTAATCCCAGCACTTAGGGGGGCTGAGGCCTGTGGATCGCCTGAGCTCAGGAGATTGGGACCTGAGCCTGGGCAGCATAGTGAGACCCATGTCTCTACAAAAAATTAAAAAATTAGCTAGGTGTAGTGGCACGCACCTGTAGTTTCAGCTACTTGGGGGGCTGAGGCAGGAGCATTGCTTGGGCCTTGGGAGGTCGAGGCTGCAGTGAGCAGTGTTTGTACCACTGTACTCCAGCATGGGTGACAAAGCAAGACCCTGCCTCAAAAAAAATTAGAATCTACCAGCTTGAGTTGCTTTTGGAACTTAACATTATAATCTATGTGAGATTTTATATATACATACATATTTCCCCAAGGAGCAATGGTTAGGTATTTGCTAATTCAGTGTTCACAGTGAATTTATAGAGTTATAATTACTGCAAATAAAGACAATCAACTGAATTTTCAAATTGTTGTGGTAAGTGGCTGTGTTAATATCCTAACACTATATAGGGATGCCCATTTCCTACAACCAAACCAGCCCTGAATATTGTCCAACTGTTCAGTTTTTGATAATTTGATAGAATTTTGTTCTTGTATTATTATTATACTTTCCCTGATTACTAGTGAGATAAACATCCTATGTATTTATTAGCCATTTGTCTTTCCTTTCCTATAATTTATTTATTGTAGTTATTTTTTAAAGAGATAGGGTCTTCCTCTGTCACCCAAGCTGGAGTGCAGTGGTGCGATCATAGCTCACCGCAGCCTTGAACTCCTGCACTCAAGTGATCCTCCTGCCTCAGCCCCCTGAGTAGCTGGGACTATGGGTGCATGCCACCACAGCCCACTCTTTTTTTTTTTTTTTTTCTTGGTAGAGACAAGGTCTTGCTATGTTGCCCAGGGTTGTCTCAAACTTCTGGCCTCAAACGATCTGGCCAACTTAGCCTCTCAGAGTGTTGAGATTACAGGCACAAGTCATTGTGCCTGGCCCATATGATTTCTTTATTCATACATTTGTATATATGTTTTTTCTAGTTTCTTGTTTACTTTTTTAAATAAATGGTTTGAAAGAGTTCTTTCTAAGTTAATTTTATGCTCTTTTTTTTCTGAGACAGAGTCCTACTGTCACCCAGGCTGGAGTGCAGTGATGAGATCTCGGCTCACTGTAGCCTCCACCTCCCAGGTTCAAGTGATTCTCCGACCTCAGCATCCCAAGTAGCTGAGACTACAGGTACATACTACTGCACCCTGCTAATTTTTTGTATTTTGTCTGTACAGACAGGATTTCACCATGTTGCCCAGGTTGGTCTCGAACTGCTAGACTCAAGTGATCCACCTGCCTTGGCCTCCCAAAGTGCTGGGATTGCAGGCATGAGCCACTGCACCTGGCCTATTTTATACTCTTAACATTAATCTTCTGTAATGTAATGTAAAATATTTTAATTATTTGACATCAAACTTTGTTTATGATGTTGTTATTTAGAAGCTTTAAGATTTGTTGAAGTAAAACATTTCAGATTTTTATTTTATTGCTTTTGCTTTTTGGTTCTTGATTAACAAGCGTTTCTGTAGCTGGAGGTTATAGTTCCTGGAATTACATATATTTCCATTTATTATGTTAATGACTTTACTATTTATTTTTATTTATTTTTAGACTTTCAGTTCATCAACCTATATCTGTGCAACTTCAAAACTTTTTTTTTCAATTTTAATTTTTTGGGGACAGGGTCTCACTTTGTTACCCAGGCTTGAGTGCGGTGGTGTGATCATAGCTCTCTGTAACCTCAAACTCCTGGGTTCAACTGACCCTCCCACCTCATCCTCCCATGGCTGGGACCACATCTGGTTGTGCCCACGTGTGCCACTGAAGTGGCATCATTGTCTGGGGTAATACCCAAGGTTCATTGTCTCATGTCAAGAAAATTAAGGACATGGACACACACAAGGAGTGAGTTTAGGAGTGGAGGGTTTTGGTTTTTTTTCTTTTTTAGATAGAGTCTTGCCCTGTTGCCCAGGCTGGAGTATAGTGGCATGATCTCAGCTCACTGCAACCTCCGCCTCCTGGGTTCAAGTAATTCTCCTGCCTCAGCCTCCTGAGTAGCTGGGATTACAGGTGTGTGCCACCACACCTGGCTAATTTTTGTATTTTTAGTAGAGACAAGGTTTCACCATGTTGACCAGGCTGGTCTTGAACTCCTGACCTCAGGTGATCCACCCACCTCAGTGTCCCAAAGTGCTGAGATTACAGGTATGAGCCACTGCGCCTGGCCAGGAGCAGAGGTTTAATAGGCAAAACGAAGAGAAAGGAGAACAGTTCTCTCTCTTGTGTGGGAGAGGGGCAAATGAATGGAAATTCTGACCCTCATCATAGTGCACCGGATTTTGTAGACAGGCTTGAGAAGGCAGTGTCTGATTTACCTAGGGCCTACCCCTATGTAAGCTGGTCACCCCATCCTAATCTTATTATGCAAATGAGCTTTCCACTTGGCTGATGCTATGTTGTCTGCTTTTTACTGTACACATGGCTGGCAAAGAGAAGGGAACTTGGAGCCGCCATTTTGGACATGCCTAGTCTCGGTAGCTTTTTCCTGTTGGCACAGCCGCCGGCATCCACCCATGCCAGCTTCCAGCTTGCTTATCTATGTCTGCAGCTCGATTTTACAGGCTGCTCTTTGTTAGAAAAGAAAACGATTTTGGGACTGCTTTTCATTAAACAGAAAATCTTACTGAGGACTTCCTACCTTTGCTATTTACCTAAATGACTTCTCCTTAATTCCTATATCACCACCATGCTTGGCTAATTTTTAATTTTTTTTTTTTTTTTTAGGTAGAGATGGGTCTCACTCTGTTGCCCACGCTGATCTCAAACTCCTGGGCTCGAGCCATCCTCCTCCCTCACCCTTCCAAAGTGCTAGGATTACAGGGCATGAACTGTGCCATACCCATCTTCGAAGTTTTATGGTCATGTAGAATCTCTATTCAAGGAAAGCAGGGAACAGACAGGGGAAAGGGCATTTGCTTGGCACATTTAGGAGTTTTGCAGGTCATTCCTTAGAAATGGAATTTGTTGCACATTCCTGATCTGAGAAACTTTAGAAATTTTTCTGCATGTTGGTGTGAAGATGAAAGAAGACAGTGTTTATAAAATAGTTTATACTTCAATTGCCTAGCAGTAGAAACTTGATTTCTGGGAATTTCAGCTTCTGAGACAACTCTAGCTGCAAGAGCCAGTTCATTTTCCCCTAAAAGCTCCATGAAGGCAGAAGCCGTGTCTCTCTTGATCTATGTGTGAATAATCAACATTTTTCACATGACTAAATAATCAAACCCGTAGAACTAGAGAACAACAACAACGAGAAAAATTAAGAAATCCAGATTGTGGTGTGAACATTCTAGCCCTTTCGGATGCTGTTGCTATGAAAATCCTCTTAGGCTTGTTTTCCTGCTTCATTTTAAGATCTGGAGGAGTCTTTGTAGGAAGGAGAGGCTGTGGGAGAACCTTCTACACCTTCATAAATATTGTGCTTCGGGGCCGGGCGCGGTGGCTCAAGCCTGTAATCCCAGCACTTTGGGAGGCCGAGACGGGTGGATCACAAGGTCAGGAGATCAAGACCATCCTGGCTAACCCGGTGAAACCCCGTCTCTACTAAAAAAAAAAAATACAAAAAACTAGCCGGGCGAGGTGACGGGCGCCTGTAGTCCCAGCTACTCGGGAGGCTGAGGCAGGAGAATGGCGTGAACCCGGGAGGCGGAGCTTGCAGTGAGCTGAGATCCGGCCACTGCACTCCAGCCTGGGCAACAGAGCGAGACTCCGCCTCAAAAAAAAAAAAAAATAAATAAAATAAATAAAAAAATAAATATTGTGCTTCAGAGTGACCAAGATATGGGCCACAGCTGGCCATCCGTATGCTGAGAGTTTGCTGGGCACATTGTAGGGCATGGAAGAATTCCGGTTTCTGCAGGAATTGAATGCCAAGCACACCTTCCATAACATCCTTCATATTGCTGACACGGTGAATTTCTTGAAACACACAGAACAAAGTCTTTTCTTTCCCCTCTAGATGGCTGAACTATTGTTCAGATTTTCCACGAGCAAAGAGGGAAGATCTTATTCAGAAGATTTTTCTAGTTAACCTGAAAAAAAATATATATATATATTATATATATATGTATATATTTTGTTGTTGAGACAGTTTCACTCTTCTCGCCTGAGCTGGAGTGCAATAGCGCGGCCTCGACTCACTGCAACCTCCACTTTCTGGGTTCAAGTGATTCTCCTGCCTCAGCCTCCCAAGTACCCAGGATTACAGGCATGTGCCACCACGCCCGGCTAATTTTGTATTTTTAGTAGAGACAGGGTTTCACCTTGTTGGCTAGGCTGGTCTCGAACTCCTGACCTCAGGTGATCCGCCTGCCTCAGCCTCCCAAAGTGCTGGGATTACAGTTGTGAGCCACTGTAATATATTTCAGCCCAGCCTGAAATATATATTTTTTAGAAATATCTATAAGACTATAGAAAGAAAACCTATAATTTCCACTTTAATAAGAAATTAGTTAAATAAGTAGATTATAGCTGCTTGTGCCGCAAAAATAAGTAACTATGTGAGATGACAGATATGTTAATTTGCTTCACATGTAGATAACCATTTTATTATCTATATGTATCCCATAATTTCATGGGTTAAACCTCAAATATACGCAATAAAATTTATTTAAAAAAAGAAATTTAAGAAGTCTTTTTTTCTTCTTCTTCTTCTTTTTAGAGGCGGGTCCTTGCTCTGTCACCCAGGCTGGAGTGCAGTGGCACCATCTCTGCTCACTGCAACCTCCACCTCCCAGGTTCAAGTGATCCTCCTGCCTCAGCCTCCTGAGTAGCTGCAACTACAGGCATGTGCCACCATGCCCGGCTCATTTTTTAATTTTAATTTTTTGTAGAGATGGGACTCACTGTATTGCCCAGGTTGGTGTTGAACTTCTGGGCTCAACTGATCCTCCCATCTCAACCTCCCCAAAATGCTGGAATTCTAGGTGTGAGCCACCACGCCTGGCCAAGAAGTCATTAATCATAAGGTTTTCTTACCATATATATTTGTCAGGGCAACATCAAGAGGCCATATCAGCTTTCATTTTGCTCCATCCTGTTCTTAGAAGCCCCATCTTTGTATGCCTCCTAAACCCCAAGTTACCAAAGTTAAGAGGAAGTAAACGTGCTGCAGTAAAATATCTATCTGGGCCAGGCACGGTGACTCACACCTGTAATCCCAGCACTATGGGAGGCTGAGGCAGGCAGATCACTTGAGATCAGGAGTTCGAGACCAGTCTGGCCAACATGGTGAAACCCTGTCTCTACTAAAATACAATAATAATAATAATAATAATAATAATAATAATAATAATAAATTAGCCGGGCTTGGTGGCAAGCGCCTGTAGTCCCAGCTACTCGGGAGGCTGAGGCAGGAGAATCGCTTGAACCTGGGAGGTGGGGGTTGCAGTGAGCCGAGATGGCACCACTGCACTCAAGCCTGGGTGACAGAGTGAAACTCCCTCTCAAAAAAAAAAAAAAAAAAAAAAAAAAAAAGGATGTATCTGAAGTAGGGTGATTATAGTTAACATTAATCTACCATACATTTCAAAATAGCTGGAAGAGAATAATTTGAATGTTACTGGTATGAAGAAAAGATAAATATTTAAGGTGATAGATATCCCAGTTACCCTGATTTGCTTATATGAGTGTAGCGAATTATCACATGTGCCTAGAAACTATATACGTCTATTACGGATCAATTAAAAAACATTTAAAAAGATCTACCTGTTTCCAAATGTATGTCTTGACCTCTGAGCTCCAGCGTTTGTGTAATGTCGCTTTAAATGTGGAGCTATAAAAGAAGGCAGGTGGGAAATTAATGAAATGTTAGAAGTGTTATCTATTGTTAATCACATAAGATTTAAAGGAAGAAGGATTGAGTTCCTTTTTTGTTTTTTTTTTCTGAGACAGGGGTCTTGCTCTGTTGCCCAGGCTGGAGCACAGTGGTGGGATCATAGCTCACTGGAGAGTCAACCTCCTGGGCTCAAGCGATCCTTCAATTTCAGCCTCCTGGTAGCTGGGACTACAGGCACGCACCACTATGCCTGGCTGATTTTTGTATTTTTTGTAGAGACGGAATTTTGCCATGTTACTTACCCACGATGGTCTGGAACTCCTGAGCTAAAGTGATCTTCCCGCCTTGGCCTCCCAAAGTTCTGGGATTACAAGCGTGAGCCAATGCGCCAGGCCTGAATTCCTTTTTTCCATACCTTTTCCATCTCCAGTATGAGTTATTTATTCCCAGGTTCATAGGAAACTCAGTGTAATTTCTAGGGTTCGAGATGGGCAGCTTCACTCGCTTATATAGTTAGTATTTAATGGATAATTAATACGTGCTCAAGAGATTAATATTGTGCTTCAGGAAATTTTTCAGTAGTGATCACAAGACATTCTGTTTGTATGAAACAAGACTGCAGAAAAGCCATGGCAGGGACTGCAGAATAAAAGCAAGACACACACATTTTCTTTTCTTTTTCTTTTTTTTATTTTGAGACTGAGTCTCACTCCGTCACCCAGGCTGGAGTGCAGTGGCTCAATCTCGGCTTTACTGCAACCTCTGCCTCCTGCGTTCAAGCAATTCTCATGCCTCAGCCTCCCAAGTAGCTGGAATTACAGGTGCCCATCACCATGCCTGGCTAGTTTTTGTATCTTTAGTAGATGTGCAGTCTTGCCATGTTGGCCAGGCTGGTCTCAAACTCCTGACCTCAAGTGATCTGCCCACCTTGGCCTCCCAAAGTGTTGGGATTACAAGTGTAAGCCAGCATGCCTGGCCAAGACACATACATTTTCAAACACCAGAGATACCAAGTTTTAGGAAAGAGTAGAAGATAAAATGACATTAAGTAACGCAACGGATTTTCTTGGTCCTTTGTCTGTAGTTGGCAGGAATATCTGATCACACACCTAAATTTCAGAAGCCTTTTTCTGGCTATCTGATGGCCTAACTCTAATTCCCTACACAAAAGTACATGTTTCCTTCCTTCAATGTGTATATCATTTCCAGTGGCTGTGTGAGGTGAAAGGGTGATAAATATTTATGCAAATATCTACAATTTGAGGCAGATTTTGATGATTCTGCAATAGGTAAACCCAAACTATATGGGTATGATAGACAGAATAATGACACCCCAAAGAGGTTCACATCCCTAACCTCCAGAACCTGTAAATGCCACCTGACATGGAGAAGGAGACTTTGCAGATATGGTTATGAAAAGGATCTTGAGACAGGAAAATTGTCCTGGATTGTCTTGGTGAACCCAATGTAATCACTGAGGTCTTTATAAGTATGAAGGATGTAGGAGAGTCAAAGACAGGGATGGGCAGGACGCAGTGGCTCACGTCTGTAATCCCAGCACTTTGGGAGGCCAAGGCGGGCAGATGGCTTGAGGCCAGGAGTCCAAGACCAGCCTGGCCAACATGGTGAAACCTTGTCTCTACTAAAAATACAAAAATTAGCCGGGCGTGGTGACGGGTGTCTGTAATCTTAGCTACTCGGGAGGCTGAGGCAAGAGAATCACTTGAACCCAGGAGACAGTTTGCAGTGAGCCCAGATGGTGCCACTGTACTCCAGCCTGGGTGACGGAGCGAGTGAGACTGTGTCTTAAAAAAAAAGAAAAAAAAAGACAGGATGGAGATTTAATGACAGAAGCAGGAAAGAGGGATGACTGACATGGCTTGATGATGGAATCCATAGTGTGGGTGAAAGTCTTACCTTTGGAGAGGACAAAAGAAATTCAGTCAAAATATGGGAATGTGGAAGGCGGATGTTCACGTTTGGTTGTATGATTGAGAGCATGGAGTTTACAATGTGTCATCATGATGACTGGGTTTGTGTGTGTGTGTGTGTGTGTGACATAGGTGGTGAGGGCATTTAGTGAGAACAGAAGTGGAAATAGAAGATCCTGTGTTGGAAACAGGGATTGTGCAGGTTGGATGAAAAAGGTAATGAGGCCAGGCGCGTTGGCTCATGCCTGTAATCCCAGCACTTTGGGAGGCCAAGGTGGGCAGATCATTTGAGGTCGGGAATTTGAGACCAACCTGACCAACATCTCTACTAAAAATACAAAACTAGCCAGGCTTGGTGGCGCATGCCTGTAATCCCAGCTACTCGGGAGGTGGAGGCAGGAGAATCGCTTGAACCCAGGAGGCGGAGGTTGCGGTGAGCCGAGATAACGCCACTGCACTCCAGCCTGGGTAACAAGAGCGAAACTCCGTCTCAAAAAGAAAAGAAAACAAAAAGGTAATGAGAGAAATGCAAATGCAGAAAGAGTGCCTGGCAGTATGGTGGGCTTCTTTTCAAAACTTAAAAAAATTATTATTATTTATTTATTTACTTTAGACAAGGGATCTTGCTCTGTCACCTAGGCTGGAGTGCAGTGGCACAATCATAGCTCACTGTGGCCTTGAACTCCTGAACTCAAGTGATCCTCCTGCCTCAGCCTCCCAAGCAACTCGGATTATAGGCATGGACCACCATGCCCAGCTAGTTTTTATATTTTGTGTAGAGATGGGATTTTGCCATGCTGCCCAGGTTGGTCTCCATCTCCTGGGCTCAAGCCATCCTCTCACCTCTGCCTCCCAAGTAGCTGGGACTACAGGCATGTGCCATCATACCCAGTGAATTTTTAAAACTTTTTTGTAGAGATGGGGTCTTGCTATGTTGCCCAGGCTGAATAGGCTCTTTTCTTCTCTCTCTCTCTCTCTTTTTTTTTTTTTTGACAGAGTATTGCTCTGTTGCCCAGGCTAGAGTACAGTGGCATGGGGCAATCTTGGCTCACCGCAACCTCTACCTCCCTGGTTCAAGCAATTATTTTGCCTCAGCCTCCTGAGTAGCTGGGATTACAGGTGTGCACTACCACCCCTGGCTAATTTATGTATTTTTAGTAGAGATGGAGTTTTGCCATGCTGGCCAGGCTGGTCTTGAACTCCTGACCTCAAGTGATTTGCTCACTTTGGCCTCCTGAAGTGCTGAGATTATAGGCATGAGCCACCGTGCTCGGCCCTGAATGGGCTCTTTAAATGGGAAGGAAGACTCAAGAGGCCTAAATCTCACTGGCTGAAGATACTGTACATTTCTGTTTTTTTTTTTTTTTTTTTTGAGATGGAGCCTTGCTCTGTCACCCAGGCTGGAGGGCAGTGGTGCGATCTCGGCTCACTGCCAGCTCCGCCTCCCGGGTTCACGCCTGGCTAATTTTTTTTTTTTTTTTGTATTTTTAGTAGAGATGGAGTTTCATTGTGTTAGTCAGGATGGTCTCGATCTCCTGACCTCGTGATCTGCCCGCCTCGGCCTCCCAAAGTGCTGGCATTACAGGCTTGAGCCACTGTTCCTGGCTGATTTATGAAAAAGCGTTTAAACTGAGATATTTGCTATTGGTTAACGAGTCAAGGAGTTGCTCAAATGTGAACCCTCTTAGGGCATCACCCGCTGATTCCCAGGTTGCCCCGTGTGTTTTTAAAACTTTATGTATTTACTTCTATTATTAGTATTGTTTTTAGAGAAGAGGTCTTGCTTTGTCATCCAGGCCGAAGTGCAGTGGCATAACCATAGCTCAGTGCAGCCTCAAACTCCTGGGCTCAAGTGATCCTCTCACCTCAGCTTCCTGAGGAGCTGGGACTACAGGTGCACACCACCACCCTCAGCTAATTTTTAAATGCTTTATAGGGATGAGGTCTCACTGGGTTGCTCAGGCTGGTCTGGAACTCCTGTCCTCAAGCAGCTGTCCTGCCTCAGCCTCCTAAAGTGCTGGGATTACAGGCATGAGCCACCATCGCTGGCCCCATTACTGCTTTTCTTTCTGAGTTTTGCAGGGTGTAGAGGGTGCTGAGTAGAGGCACTGCCCACTACCCACTACTAAGTGGTAGTTGGTAGAGGCAGACTTGTTAAGAGAGCCTAAATCCCAGTTAACACCTATTTCTGTTTAATTCATAAATATGTACAGCGTTTCCTCCTATGCTTGCCTTTATGGGGTGGTGGTGCCAAGTGACTGTGAGATAGACCAGTATGTAGAGAAAAGGGATAGGGTAAATGCTTCTGAGGAGAATGTGCATCACTGCTTCAGATCAATTCCTGCTCATTTAGTTAACCATGTATGGCACACAGTAGGTGTCCAATAGGAGTGTTTGTGTGTGAGAGTCAAGATAAGCACAGTTCCCTAAGGAGTAAGAGCCAAGGATTTTTTTTTTTTTTTTTTTTTAAGTTTTGGGATAGGGTCTCACTCTGTTGCCTGGGCTGGAGTGCAGTGGCATGACCATGGCTCACTGCAGCCTCAACCTACTGGGCTCAAATGATTGTCCCATCTCAGCCTCCTGAGGAGTAGCTGGGACTACAGGTGCGTGCCACCATGTCTAGCTAATTTTTATTTTTATTTTTTGTACAGATGGGATCTTGCTATGCTGCCCAGGCTCGTCTTGAACTCCTGGCCTCAAGTGATCCTCTTGCCTAGGCCTCCCAAATGCTGGGATGACAGGCTATGACTGTAATCCCAACAGGCCTGGCTGATTAAAAAAAAAAAACAAACATGTAAACTGAGATCATTGCTAATGGTTAATGAGTCAAGGCATACTCAGATGTGAGCCTGTCTAGGGCATTGCCTGCTGTATTCCCAGGTTTCCTTGTGTGATAGGCACATGCTCCTCGGGTGGGTCAGTTAGTGAAATGCTCTGGAGCAATGCGTGATCTTACCGTGCTGGGTTTGGGGGTGTCAGCCTTCGCACTGCTGGAGAGTGTGTGCATCTCAGACTCAGTTCTCAATTTCCTGAACCCTTTGGACCATTTCCTGTATTGCTCCCGGACCTGTAGAGGCAAAGCGTGCCCTGGGTCAGCTCATGGAAAGCAATGAGGACAGGAAGAGTACTGGGTGGGAGCTGGGCAGTGGTACCTGCTGGCTGAGGAGGCAGTACACCAGGAAGATGAAGACGCCCTGCAGGCTGTTGATGATGGTGAAGAGGTAGGCCATGACCCGGGCAGCCGGACCCACCTGCAAGATGCCCAGACACCACGTGCAGCCCAGAATGAACAGCTGAGCTGTTGCTTTAAATGCCAGCATCCTGCATTGAATAAGAAAGGAGGCTGGTGATGCACCCAGAGAAACAGAATCAAGGCTATTTCATCTGTGCCCATGGAGTCCTCTGCCCTCCCCTGTAGATGATTTCTCAGACTGGGCTGTGATCAGCTTAGATCTTTACTGTCAATGATAGCCCACAATAGAAATGCCACCTGGGGCCAGGCGCGGTGGCTCACATCTGTAATCCCAGCACTTTGGGAGGCCGAGGCAGGCGGATCACCTGAGGTCAGGAGTTTGAGACCAGCCCAACCAACATGGTGAAACCCGGTCTTTGCTAAAAATAATACAAAAATTAGCCAGGTGTGGTGGCGGGCGCCTGTAATCCCAGCTACTCAGGAGGCTGAGGCAGTAGAATCGCTTGAACCCAGGAGGCAGAGGTTGCAGTGAGTCAAGATAGCGCCACTGCACTCCAGCCTGGGTGACCGAGCAAGACTCCATCTCAAAAAAAAAAAAAAAAGGTTATTTTTGAACATGCAAAGAGATTTCTAAAAAAAAAAAAAAAAAAAAAAAAAAAAAAAAAAAAAAACAACCAAAGTATGACATATGAAATTTGGAAAGGATAATGACAGGAACCTAGAAGAAAGCTCATTAATTTTGCACAAGGGTGCCTGGAACAACAAACTGCTCAAGCCCTACAGAGGAATTTTTAAATTTATTTTTATTTATTTATTTATTTATTTATTTATTTTTGAGATGGAGTCTCGCTCTGTCACCCAGGCTGGAGTGCAGTGGCGCGATCTCGGCTCACTGCGACCACCGCCTCCCGGGTGCAAGTGATTCTCCCACCTCAGCCTCCTGAGTAGCTGGAATTATAGACGCCCACCACCACACCTGGCTAATTTTTGTATTTTTAGTAGAGACGGGGTTTCACCATGTTGGCCAGACTGGTCTTGAACTCGTAACCTCAAGTGATCCGCCTACCTCGGCCTCCCAAAGTGTTAGGATTATAGGCGTGAGCCACCATGCCCGGTCCCCGTAGAGGATTTAATGTTGATTAGGATTTTCCCAGAGGGAGGATTGCATGAGGAGTGATGAGGAGCCTGAACTGAGGATACGGTATGAAGGTGCAGGCTGGGCTGTGGGAACAGACATGAAAATATACATGTTCTTTGCACTTTTTTTTTGAGTTGGAGTCTTGCTCTGTCACCCAGGCTGGAGTACAATGGTGCAATCTCGGCTCACTGCAACCTCTGCCTCTCAGGTTCAAGCAATTCTCCTGCCTCAGCCTCCCGAGTAGCTGGGATTACAGGCGAATGCCACCACACTCCCCCTAATTTTTGTATTTGTTGTAGAGACGGGGTTTCACCATGTTGGTCAGGCTGGTCTCTTTGGCCAAGCTGGTTTCAAACTCCCAGCCTTGTGATCTGCCCCCTCCAACCCTCGGCTTCCCAAAGTGCTGGGATTACAGGCATGAGCCACCGTGCCCGGCCTTCTTTGTATTTTAAAAGTGCTAACTTCTTTGCACTTTTGTTATAGGACTGCTTACAAAAGCCCAAATAAGTGTTTAACCTTTTAGTTTATTGATTCATAATGTTTGTACATCTTTACGGGGACATACATGATATTTTGTTAACATGTATACAGTGTGTCATGATTAAGTCAGGGTACTCAGGGTATCCGTCACTTTGAGTGTCTATCATTTGTATGTGTTGGGAACACTTCAAATTTTCCCCTCTAGCTATTTTGAAATATACAATATATTGTGAACTAGAGTCACCCTACTCTGCCATCCAACATTATAACTTACTCCTTCTATCTGACTGTATGTTGGACCCATTAACCAACCCCTCTTCATCACCTTGCCCACTCACATACCCTTTCCAGCCTCTGGAATCTATCATTCTACTTTCTTTTTATTTTTTGAGGCAGAGTCTCGCTCTGTCGCCCAGGCTGGAGTGCAGTGGTGCGATCTCGGCTCACTGCAACCTCCGCTTCCTGGGTTCAAGCGATTCTCCTGCCTCAGCCTCCTGAGTAGCTGGGATTACAGGCGCCCCCCACCACGCCCAGCTAACTTAACATTCTACTTTCTGCCTCTATGAGATCAGCTTCTTTAGCGCCTGTCTATGTAAGTGACAGCCTATGCTATTTGTCTTTTTGTGCCTGGCTTATTTCACTTAACAGAATGACCTCCAGTTTCATCCATGTTGCTGCAAATGACATGGTTTCATTCTGTTTTGTGGTCGAATCGTATCCTATTTTGTATGTATACCATTTACCAGCCAATGAAGATTCTTCCGGTTGCTCTGGGATTCACTAACTGAGATTAGACATGGACAAAACATTTTGCTCGGGGTGTCAACAAGATATCACTGAATCTGAGACGGCTGCCATAGAAGAATGGCTGCATCTGTTTACTCTGGGTGCCTTCAAAAGACCCTGAGATGGGACCTCAGTGGCTGTTAAGGCACATGGCTTGGCTCTTGGGAACCATACAGGTCTGTGTTGTTGTCACCCCCTTCTCCATCTTACCTTGTGTTCTGGAGGGTGGACACTTCATTATTGAGGGAGGAGAGTCTTTTTTTCAAAATCCAGAGAGTCACCAGAAGGAGAGCTAAATTCACCTTCAGGAAACCACAGAAGATTTGTTGAATAGAATTTGAAACCCATTATCTCTCTCTCTCGTCTTTTTTTTTTTGGTCAGACAGGGTCTTGCTCTGTTGCCCAGGCTAGAGTATGGCGGTGCAATCTCAGCTCAATGCAACCTCCGCCTCCCGGGTTCGAGCGATTCTCCTGCTTCGGCCTCCCGAGTACAGGCACCCACCACCATGCCAGGCTAATTTTTTATTTTTAGTAGAGATGGGGTTTCACCATATTGGCCAGGCTGGTCTTGAACTCCTGACCTCAAGTGATCTGCCTGCCTCGGCCTCCCAAAGTGTTGAGATTACATGCGTGAGCCACCACATCAGGACTGAAGCCCATTATCTCTTCATCTTAGCCTGTCTAATATGAGTTATACATGTAAGTGTTTTTCTTAAATATTGAGTAACAGTGTTAAGAGTTTGAAGATTCAAGAGTGGTCTTAGGAGGCCGGGCGCGGTGGCTCAAGCCTGTAATCCCAGCACTTTGGGAGGCTGAGACGGGCGGATCACGAGGTCACAAGATCAAGACCATCCTGGCTAACATGGTGAAACCCCGTCTCTACCAAAAAAAAAAAAAAAAAAAACAAAAAACTTGCCAAGCGAGGCGGCGGGTGCCTGTAGTCCCAGCTACTCGGGAGGCTGAGGCAGGAGAATGGCATAAACCCGGGAGGTGGAGCTTGCAGTGAGCTGAGATCCGGCCACTGCACTCCAGACTGGGCCACAGAGCGAGACTCCGTCTCAAAAACAAACAAACAAAAAAAAAAACAGTGGTCTTAGGAAACCTAACCCAACCCATGACAACCCAAGGGGCATTCCTCCTCTTGTCACCATCTTTATTATCTTGTTTTTCTAATGACCCTCAGCAGGGCAGTGAGGATGCTTAGATGATGTCACTTACAGAGAAGATGGCACAGACAGGTCCAAGGAAGCCCCATATAAATCCCTTTTCTGGTTGGAGCCAGCAGCTGAACAAGAGAGAGAGATTTAAAAAAAAATGCATCGGTTTTTGGAGATATGGAACAGTTATGTAAATCTATTCCTTCCCTCCTCACCACTTCCTCCCTTCCTCCCTACATCAACAGTATTGAGTGTTTCTTTAGCGATAGGGTCTGTGGTTGGCTCTGAAGATACAGTGGTGAGATCTAAGAACACGGTCTTAGATCCCCAAAATTTCAACTCAGGGAGGATACACGCAATTAGATACATTCTAACAATGAAACAAAAATGGAAGGTTGTGCCAGGCACTGTGGCTTACACCAGGACTTTGGGAGGCCGAGGTGGGAGGATTGCTTGAGGCTAGGAGTTTGAGACCAGCCTGAGCAACACAGCAAGACCCCATTTCTAAAAAAAAAAAAAAAAAAAGCCAGGTGTGGTGGCTCACACCTGTATTCTCAGTTACTTGGGAAACTGAGCGGGGAGGATCACTTGAGTCCAGGAGGTTGAGACTGCAGTGAGCTGTGATTGCACCACTGCACTCCGGCCTGGGCAACAGAGCAAGACCTAAATTGCAGCATTTTAAATTTCTATTTAAAATAGAAAATGAGTCCAGGTGCAGTGGTTCATGCCTGTAATCCCAGCACTTTGGGAGGCTGAGGCGGGTGGATCATTTGAGGTCAGGAGTTCGAGACCAGCCTGCCCAATGTTGTGAAATCCTGTCTCTACTAAAAACGCACAAAAAATGAGCTGTGTGTGGTGGCGCACGCCTGTAATCCCAGCTACTCGGGAGGCTTGAACCCGGGAAACAGAGAGCAGAGGTTGCAGTGAACTGAGATCACGCCACCGCACTCCAGCCTGGGTGACAGAGGGTTTCTAAATAAATAACTAAATATAAAATGACTGAATGGTCTCTTGAAATTCCTTTCTATGGCTGAATAATATTTCACTGTGGATATGTTACTTTTTTTTATCCATTCATCAGTGATAGGCATTGTTTCCAATTTTTGACTCCTTTAAATAATGCTTCTATGAGCATTCATGTACAACATGTTTCTAAACGTTTAGTTTAGGTTCAGAGGTACACTGTGTAGGTTTGTTATGTAGGTCAATTGCACGTTGCGGCGGTTTGGCGTACAGATTATTTTGTCACCCGGGTCATCAGCACAGTACTCTATAGGTCGTCTATTTATCCTCACCCTCCTCCCACTTTCTACCCTCAAGTAGGCTTCGGTGTCTGAAGTTCCCTTGTGTCCATGGGTACCCAGTGTTTAGCTTCTGCTTATAAGTGAGAACGTGTGGTATTTGATTTTCTGTTTCTGAATTCACTTAGGATAATGGCCTCCAGCTCCATCCATATTGCTGCAAAGGACATGATCTCGTTATTTTATTTTATTTTTTTTGAGATGGAGACTCACTCTGTCGCCAGGTTGGGGTGCAATGGTGCCATCTTGGCTCGCTGCAACCTCTGCCTCCCGGGTTCCAGCAATTCTCCTGCCTCAGCCTCCCCAGTAGCTAGGATTACAGGCACCCACCACCTCGCCCGGCTAACTTTTGTATTTTTAGTAGAGACAGGGTTTCACCATGTTGGCCAGGATGGTCTCAATCTCTTGAACTCGTGATCTGCTTGCCTCGGCCTCCCAAAGTGCTGGTTTTACAGGCGTGAGCCACCGCACTCGGCTGACATTGTTATTTTTTATGATTGCATCATTTACAAGTTTTTGCGTGGACATCTGTTTTCATTTGTTTTGGGTATATACCTGGGTCATATGGTAGCTCTGTAGTTAACTTTTGGAGGATTAGTGTTAATAATTCACAAAACCAAAAACAGCAAAAGAGGAAGCACTTCCCAAATCTTCTACGAGGCCAGTATTACTCTGACACCAAACCCAGAAATAGACATCACAAGAAAACAAAACTGCAGACCAAAATCCTTTATGAAAATGAATGCAAAAATCCTCAAAAAATACTAGCCGACCAAGTCCTGCAACATATTAAAAGGATTATATGGCCGGGCGCGGTGGCTCAATCCTGTAATCCCAGCACTTTGGGAGGCCGAGACGGGCGGATCACGAGGTCAGGAGATTGAGACCATCCTGGCTAACACGGTGAAACCCCGTCTCTACTAAAAAATACAAAAAACTAGCCGGGCGAGGTGGCGGGCACCTGTAGTCCCAGCTACTCGGGAGGCCGAGGCAGGAGAATGGTGTAAACCCGGGAGGAGGAGCTTGCAGTGAGCTGAGATCCGGCCACTGCACTCCAGCCTGGGCGACAGAGCGAGACTCCGTCTCAAAAAAAAAAAAAAAAACAAAAACGAAAGAAGAGAATAGGTAGGAAGAATACCTTTGTAAATTAATGTCCTGGTGTACTACTCAGTCACCATGACCAGGTGGTAATTATACCAGGAATGTAGGCTAGTTTAACATCTAATCACCCATCAATGTAATACACATATTAATAGAATAAAGGATTAAAACTATATGATCACATTATAGTTATATAATTATATAATCATATAATTATATGATCACATTATAAGATCACATTATAATTATATAACCATATAATTAACTGTATATAACCATATAATATTCCCCAGGACTCAAAGGTAAATAACCATATATAACCCTATAATTATAATGTGATTTTTTTTTTTTTTTTTTGAGACAGTCTCACCTTGTCACCCAGGCTGGAGTGCAGTGGCGCGATCTCGGCTCACTGCAAGCTCCGCCTCCCGGGTTCATGCCATTCTCCTGCCTCAGCCTCCTGAGTAGCTGGGACTACAGGCGCCCGCCACCGCGCCCGGCTATTTTTTGTATTTTTAGTGGAGACGGGGTTTCACCGTGGTCTCGATCTCCTGACCTTGTGATCCGCCCGCCTTGGCTTCCCAAAGTGCTGGGATTACAGGCGTGAGCCACCGTGCCTGGCCGTGATCGTATAATTTTAATCCTTTATTCTATTATGTGTATTAATAGAACAAAAGATTAAGTAAGTAATCATATAGTTATATATGATTATATAATTATAATGATATAATATACGATTATATAATTTAATATGATAATATAATTTATAATTATATAATATAATTATCATATTTAATTATATTATATACTTATAGAATATATAAATTATATAGATACGTATTTATATATAAATTACATATAAAATAATCTAATATAAGTATATAATTATAATGTGATCATATAATTTTTATCCCATATAATTAAAAATTATATGCTTCGGAAATGCATTTGACAAAATCAAACACAGTTTCATCACCAAAATACCCAACACACTAGGAATAGAAAAGAATTTCTTTAACCTGAAAATGGGTATCTATGAAAAATCCTCAGCTAACATCATACATTAATGAGAATAGACTCAGTGCTTTCTCCCTAAGTTCAGGAGCAAGACAACACTGTCTGCTGTTCTAGTCAACAGTGTTCTGGAGGGTTCAACCAGTGCAACTGGCAAGCAAACAAACAAACAAGCTAGAAAAGTACCTGGCACAAAGTAAGCATCTCATAAATCTTAACTATGACAATATCAATTATTTGGGTTATTCCAATCAGGTCTACTTTTTCAAATGAAAAATGGAAGCATCCTAAAAGATCTGGATAAAGTAGGTTAGATATTAAACAAATGCTATCATGAGCACTTTGATTTCATTCTTGCTATTTCAATGAGAGAGATTTAAATACATGATCCCTAACTATTATTAGTATCTTTTAGAGACAAGGTCTCTCTCTCTTGCTCAGGTTGGAGTGCAGTGGTGTAATCATAGCTTGCGGCAACCTCGAACTCCTGGGCTCAAGCGACCCTCCCATCTCAGCCTCCTGAGTAGCTAGGACTACAGGTGTGTGCCAGTATGCCCTGCTAATTTTTTAAATTTTGTAAAGAAGGGGTCTTGCTGTGTTGCCCAGGCTGGTCTCAAGATCCTGGGCTCAAGTGATCCTCCTGTGTCAGCCTCCCAAAGCACAGGGATTCCAGGCGTGAGCCACTGAGCCTGACCCTCCTTAATTATTATAATCTTCTAGCAGAAAGATGCCCTGGGGATTATGACACAGTGTCTTTGCCCTCTTTATGCTTTCCAAAGACTTGCCCTTTATTTCATTCAGAAAATTTCCGAAAACCCTCTTCTACAATGCCTACTTTGAAATGTAATTGAAATAAACTCAATAGCTAAGAATGAGGAGCTGCAGTGTAATCCAACCAACAGAGCCTAAAATCCCTACTGATCTAATTAAAAGCAGGTATCATAAAAATGCTATCTAGGTTCTAGCAATGGCCACGGTTATGCCGGAGAAGATAAGGACTGTGGGAATTTGCACTAACCGGGAAGGTGTTCCATAAAGGTGAGGCCTGGAGGCTGCAGAAATGGCCACTATCACAGCTGGGACTCCATAGCCCACAGGGAACATGAGCTTCTTCGTGAATCTGTTGATGCTCGAGTAGTTGACCACCATCAGGTTCCGTGCAGTGAGGAAGAGGTACAGGGCCTCCAGCAGCATCCAGGTGAAGGCGGCCAGGTAGAGATAATGCAAGGCACCGGCGATGATGGCGCACAGCACCTGGGGGAGAAGTAAGAGACGCCCAGAGCGGCGGTCAGATTCGAGTGTGACCCATGGCTTCTCCTGTACCATGCTGTTGGGGAGAATTCTGAGATATTTGATGGCATTGTAGAGAATATTTGCTTTGTAGTTGAGTCAGGCAATGGGAAATTGGTGGTGTTCTCTTCTAATATTCCCCAGGACTCAAGGGCCTATATATATATACACATACACACACACACACACACACACACACACACACACACGTATATACACACACACATATACACACATGTACCTATTTGTGTACACACACATACATATACACATACATGTGTATATATATACACACATATATAAAATATATATACACACACACACATATACACATTTTTTTTTTGAGACGGAATTTCACTCTTGTTTCCCAGGCTGGCGTGCAATCGTGCGATCTCAGCTCATTACAACCTCCACCTCCTGGGTTCAAGCGGTTCTCTTGCCTCAGCCTCCTGAGTAACTGGGATTACAGGCATGTGCCACCACGCCTGGCTAATTTTGTATTTTTATTTTTATTTTTATTTTGTATTGTATTTTGTATTTTTAGTAGAGACGGGGTTTCTTCATGCTGGTCAGGCTGGTCTAGAACTCCCGACCTCAGGTAATCCACCCCCCTTGGTCTCCCAAAGTGTTGGGATTACAGGCGTGAGCCACCATGCCCCGCTGGGCCATTATATTAAGGAATCCAATGCCACATCATTCCATGAGCCAGCATCCTCTGCGTCAAGGAAGGGAGCCCCCTGGAACACCGCTGTCAATACCTCATGTTCGGTTCGATCAATCCCCACGAGGAAGAGGAGGTGGGCCACGAGGAGGCAGAGCGAGAGCTGCAGATGCAGCGAGGTACTGGTGTTCTGGATGGCTTTGCACAGGAGGAAGGTGAGGGCCGCCAGGAGGAGGCACAGCAGAGAGAGGCTCAGCCCCATGTAGGTGATGACAGTCAGCACAGGATCCTCCTCCTGGGACCCCAAAAAGAAGAGTTCACAGTTATGCTTTCTTGCTCTGGGGTAATGACCCGACCACCATTTTAAATTTTTATTTTGGCATAGCACATTTAAGAATGAGACAGCCAGGTACATTTGTGAAGGTGTCATCAATTTAATTTAATTTGTGAAGTTGTCACCTGAGCCTCTTGGGTGTCTGGGAATACAAGGGTAGTCACGCAGGTGACAACAGGTGTGCATTACAGTCATGTATGGCACCATGCCCTGCTAACTTTTTTTTTTTTTTTTGACAGAGTCTTGCTCTGTCGCCCAGGCTGGAGTGCAGTGGCGCGATCTCGGCTCACTACAACCTCTGCCTCCCTGGTTCAGGCAATTCTCTGCCTCAGCCTCCCGAGTAGCTGGGATTACAGGCGCCCACCACCACGCCCGGATAATTTTTGTATTTTTAATAGAGACGGGGTTTCATCATCTTGGCCAGGCTGGTCTTGAACTCCTGACCTTGTGATCCACCCGCCTCGGCCTGCCAAACTGCTGGGATCACAGGCGTGAGCCACCACGCCCGGCCTAACTTTTTAAAAATTTTTATAGAGACAGGATCTTTCTGTGTTGCCCAGTCTGGTCTCGGATTCCTGGGCTCAGGTGATCCTCCCGCTTCAGCCTCCCAAAGCACAGGGATTTCAGGTGTGAGTCTGTTAGGTTTCGAAGGGAAGGTGAGGGTTAAAGAAAGACAGAGCGAGAGAGAGACAGAGGAGAGAAAGAGAGAGTTGGCAGCTCTACAGCAATGCAGGTTTATGTCCAGCATAAGACCTGTGGAGCGGGGAGCTAGCTGCGTGCCAGAATCCACTGCCGCTTACAGGCTGGGGTAGTTACAGGTCTGGGCTGGAGGGGCTGGGTGGTATGGCTTGCTGCCTGGGAGGATATTGATAAGATGTTCCTGCGATGGAAAACGAAAGGGTGGTTTGGCCCTTTTTCCCACATGATCTGATAGTGATGTCCCTTGGATCTACTCCAGGTGATAAGAGAGTCAGGTGGGCCAGACGTGGTGGCTCACACCTGTAATCCCAGCACTTTGGGAGGCCGAGGCAGGTGGAACTTGAGGTAAGGAGTTCGAGACCAGCCTGGCCAACTTGGTGAAACCTTGTCTCTAGTAAAAACACAAAAATTAGCCGGGCATGGTGGTGCATGCCTGTAGTCCCAGCTACTCAGGAGGCTAAGGAAGGAGGATCTCTTGAGCCCAGGAGGTCAAGGCTGCAGTGAGCTATGACTGTGCCAATGTACTCCAGCCTGGGTGACAGAGACCCTGTCTAAAAAAAAAAAAAAAAAAAAAAAAAACAAAGGCAGAGTTTACCCTGGGTGGGCCAGACCTCATCAGATGAGTCGTTACAAGATCTGGGCTCTTCCTGGAGAATCAGATTCAAAACTTGTGATGGTTAATATGGATGTCAACTTGATTGGATTGAAGGATACAAAGTATTGATCCTGGGTGTGTCTGTGAGGGTGTTGCCAAAGGAGATTAACATTTGAGTCACTGGGCTGGGGAAGGCAGATCCACTCTTAATCTGGGTGGGCACCATCTAATCAGCTGCCAGCGTGGCTAGAATATAAGCAGGCAGAAAAATGTGAAAAGAGAGGCTGGCCTAGCCTCCCAGACTACATCTTCCTCCTGTGCTGGATGCTTCCTGCCCTCGAACATCGGACTCCAAGTTCTTCAGTTTTGGGACTCAGATGGGCTCTCCTTGCTCCTCAGCCTGCAGATGGCCTATAGTGGGACCTCGTGATCTTGTGAGTTAATACTTAATATACTCCTATATATATATAGGAGTATATTATATATACTATATAATAGGAGTATATACATATAGGAGTATATATACATATAGGAGTATATATACATATATACTATATATATTCCATTATATATGAATATATATGAATATATATAATATATAATATATATGAATATATAATGGAATATATATACATATACGAGTATATATGTATATATACTCATATATGTATATATGTATATATACTCGTATATGTATATATGTATATATACTCGTATATATACTCATATATATAGTATATATGTATATATACTCGTATATATATATATATATATTCCATTAGTTCTGTCTCTCTAGAGAACCCCGACTGATACGAACCTTAAGAGGGATTCCGCATGAAGGAATATTTTTTCCTTGGCCTCCAGAGAGTAATGCTGAAAGGTTGCCAGAGGGTCATGTGAGAAAGGATGTGAGTGGCCTCTAGAACTGAATGCGATGCCTTCCTGACAGCTAAGAAAGTGAGACCTCACTTCTACAATCACAAGAAACTGAATTCTGCCAGCAACCAGGGAGCTTGGAGAAGGACCTCAAGTCTCAGATGAAACAGCAGCCCTGGGGGTGGGGCGACACGATGATTTCAGTCTTGTAAGACCCTGAGCAGAAAAGCCATCTTGCTATGCCAGCTTGCTGACCCATAGCTGTGAGATAATGCATTTTTTTAAAAGGCTGCTACGTCTGTGGGGATTTGTTGCACAGCAATAAATGCAGAGTGCAGCCTCTCCTAAGGGTCTCACCTGTACATCGTAGGGGGCCATGAGGACGGCAAAGCTGCTCAGGTGGGTGCAACGGCAGATGGTGCTGGTATCTCTGGTGCCCATCGTGCTGCAGCCTGTGGTGGCCCAATGACCACATCCATTCTGGCCATGCTCCCAGAAGACACAGAACACTTTCCGTCTTGGTATGACCGACTGCAGGAACAGAACACAGGTGTGGGCCGGGCATGGCGGCTCACGCCTGTAATCCCAGCACTTTGGGAGGCTGAAGCAGGTGGATCACTTGAGATCAGGAGTTTGAGACCAGCCTGGCCAACATGGTGAAACCCCGATTTCTACTAAAAAAACAAAACAAAGCAAAACAATACAAAACAAAACAAAACAAAAATTAACCAGGCGTGGTAGCACACACCTGTAGTCCCAGTTACAAGGGAGGCTGAAGCAGAAGAATCACCCGAACCTGAGAGGTGGAGGTTGCAGTGAGCCAAGATCGTGCCACTGCACTCCAGCCTGGGCGACAGAGCGAGACTCCGTCTCAAAATAAATAAATAAATAAATAAGTAAATAAATAAATAAATAAATAAATAATAATAATAATAATAAATAAAAAGGACCCATGCGTGAGCTGGTGGGTGGGTCTGATGCTCAGAGATGCTTACCCAAAGCCGGCTTGGGAAGGACTGACTTTCCTGGGGAGATGATGTACCCGTAACAGAGACCCGTGAGCCCCAGGGCTGAGCTGGGCAGCAAGGCTATGCCTGGACTCAGACTCCCCACCCACCCCCACCACCCCACCAGCACTCACACGGTGGGAGAAGGTGAAGGTAACTGGGGAGCTGAGGTTTTGGGTGTCGTTGTTGCTCAGAAAGGCAGAGATGACATCTGAGAGCAGGATGGGGAGCAAGCCCTGGTGTGTCTCATTCAGAACCACCTGCTTCTCAGGCTCCGAGACCAGGGGGGCCTCAGCCAGCAACTTGCCCATCCCTGGAACGGAGACAAGGCCCACCACAGAAGGGCCTGCGGGACAGGGCCAAGATTGAATCTTGGAGTAGGTTGAATCTCTGGGTCCACACCAGAGTTCCTCCGCCCCGCACAGAACTTTCTACTCATGGAGATGGGCTACCTTCCTTTGGCTTCACCCATCCCACACTTTCCTTCAATCTTTAAATCCCTTAGTTTTCACATTCTTGGGCATCTTGTCCCACCACGAAGCTTCACTGACCACCTCCCCATCTCAGCCATTACCTGGGTCACCAGATTTCTGTGCCAGATTCCAGTCCAGCTGCATCGTTGCCTGATTCTGTCTCAAGGTGACATTCCTGTCTACTTGCTTCTGCACCTCCAGGGAAAATTCTGTGAGTTGTGGGAATTATATAAGGGGAATTAGGTTAGGAATCGTGCCTACAGTGGTTGATATACTATGACTTAATTTATATACTATATACACATAGAGGCTGAAGTTACAAAATATCAGAAGAGAAGAGTATGAGCAACTGTATATCCACAAAGTAGATAACCTAGATGAAATGGACACATTCCTAGTGACACGCAAACCACTGAAACCAACTCAAGAAGAAATAGATCGGCAGGGCGCGGTGGCTCATGCCTGTAATCCCAGCACTTTGGGAGGCCAAGGCGGGTGGATCACGAGGTCAGGAGATTGAGAGCATCCTGGCTAACAAGATGAAACTCCATTTCTACTAAAAATACACACACAAAAAAAACCCGTCTCTACTTAAAAAAAATACAAAAAATTAGCCAGGCGTGGTGGCGGGCGCCTGTAGTCCCAGCTACTCAGGAGACTGAGGCAGGAGAATAGTGTGAACCTGGGAGGCAGAGCTTGCAGTGAGCTGAGATCGCGCCACTGCACTCCAGCCTGGGTGACAGAGTGAGACTCCGTCTCAAAAAAAAAAAAAAAAAAAAAAGGAAGAAGAAGAAGAAATAGAAGATCTGAATAGACCTACAGACCTATAACAGATTACACAGATTACATCAGTAATCAAAACCTCTCAAAACGAACAACCCGGACCAGATGACTTCACTGGTGAAATCTACCAATAGCTTAGAAAAGAATGAACATGAATCTTTTACCTGTTCAAAAATATGGAAGGGGAGGAAACACTATTTAAATAATTTTATGAGGCCAATATTGCTCTGAGGTCAGGAGTTCGAGACCAGCCTGGCCAACGTGGCGAAACCCTGTCTCTACTAAAAATACAAAAAATTAACCAGGTGTGTAGGCACATGCCTGTAATCCCAGCTACTGGGGAGGCTGAGGCAGGAGAATTGCTTGAACCTAAGACGCGGAGGTTGCAGTGAGCCGAGATTGTGCCACTGCACTCCAGTCTGGATGACAGAGCAATAGATGAAGACATAACAGGAAAATAAAATTATAGACTAATATTTCTTATGGACATAGATGCAAAAATTTTCAGCAAAAATATTAGGAATACATTTTACCAAGGAGATTCAGACTTATAGGAAAGTTTTTTGAGTTTTGTTTTTTTTTTTTTTTTTTTGAGACAAAGTCTTACTCTGCTGGTCAGGCTAGAGTGCAGTGGCACGATCATAGCTCACTGCAGTTTCCTGGGCTCAAGCAATCCCTCCAACTCAGCCTCCCAAGTAGCTGGCACTACAGTTGCTCACTATCACACCCAACTAATTTTTAAATTTTCTGTGGAGATGGTGTTTCAGTATGTTTCCAAGGCTGGGCTTGAGCTCCCGGGCTCAAGCAATTCTCCCACCTTGGTGACCTCTGACAATGTTGGGCGTGAGCCACTGCTTCTGGCCTACAAAAGTGTTTGAAAGAAATAAAAGGCCCTCTCTAAATGGAAAGACATCCTATGTTCATGGATTGGAAGACTTTCTATTGTTAAGACAGCAATACTCCCCCAAAGTGGTCTAGAGACTCAATGCAATCCCTATCAATATTTTAACGTATTATTATTTTGCAGAATAAGAAAAGTTCATCTTAAAATTCATATGGTGTTGTAAGGAATCCAAATACCCAAAAACAATCTTGAAGAAGAACAACAAGGTTGGAGGATTCACACTTCCTGATTTCAAAACTTACTACAAACTGACAGTAATACTGGCATAAAGATATAACAGAATAGAATTGAGAGTCCAGGAATGAACCTATCCATCTTATGGTCAGTTGATTCTCAACAAGGGGTGCCAAGACTATTCAATGGGAGAAAGAATAATCTCTTCAACAAATGGTGCTGGGATGACTGGATAGTAACATGCAAAATAAGGAAGTTGTGACCCTACCTCACAGAACAAACAAAAATTAACTCAAAATAAGCCAGGGACCTAAGTTTAGAAGCTAAAACTAGAACGCTTAGGAGGAAACAGGGGTAAATCTTCCTGGTCTTGGATTTGGTAATAAATTCTTTTTTTATTTTTATTTTTGAGATGGAGTCTTGCTCTGTCATCCAGGCTGGAGTGCAGTGGCACAACCTCGGCTCACTGCAACCTCCGCGTCCCAGGTTCAAGCAATTCTCCTGCCTCAGCCTCCTGAGTAGCTGGGATTACAGGCGTGTGCCAACACACCTGGTTAAGTTTTTTTGTATTTTTAGTAAAGACAGGATTTCGCCATGTTGGCCAGACTGGTCTCGAACTCCTGACCTCAGGTGATCTGCCAGCCTCGGCCTCCCAAAGTGTTGTGATTACAGGCGTGAGCCACCACCCCCAGTCAACGAATTCTTAAATATGACACCAATTGCACATGCAACAAAAGAAAAAAGAGATAAAATAAATGTCTTCAAAATTTAAAACATCTATTCATTAAAATGAAAAGACAATGAAGAAAATGAAAGACAGTCTACAGAATGGGAGAAAATATTTTGCAAATCATTTATCTCAAATGGTCTACTCTCAGAATGTATAATGAATGCTTACAACTGGACAACCAAAAGGCAAACAGCACAATTCAAAACAGGCAAAGGATTTGAATAGACATTTCTCCCAAAATGACACGCAAATGGTGGGCAAACACATGAAAAGATGTTAAACATTGTTAGTTATTAGGGAAGGGCAAATCCAAATCTCAATGAGATATCACCTCACCAGTAAAGCAGCGAAAATACCCAAGCGTAAATACCCAAGGTTCATTGTCTCACACCAGGGAAATTGAGGACGTGCACACATAAGAATTGAGTTTAAGAGTGGAGACAGGGGCTCCCAAGTGGGGCTTCTGGTTGAGTGGTGAAATGCATGAAGTTTTATAGATGAGCTTGGGTAGGTGGTGTCTGATTTACATAAGGCTCAAAGATTGGTTGGAACAGGTGAGTCATTTACATGGAGCATGAAGCAGCTGGCTGCCCCAGCCTAATCTTTTATTATGCAAATGAATTCTTTACCTGGCTGGTTCCATGTTGCCAGCTTCTGTACTGTACACGTGGCTGACGAAGGTAAGGGAAGAGGGAGATTCCATGTTGAACATGCCTGGCCCCCAGGTAGCCTTTTCCTATTGGCACAGCTGCTGGCATTCACCTGTGCCAGCTTCCAGCTTGCTTCTCTATGTCTGCAGCTTGATTTTTCAGGCTGCTCGTTGTTAGACAAGAAATGATTTGGGGGCTGTTTTTTATTTTTTTTATTTTTTATTTTTTATTTTATTTTATTTTATTTTTGAGACGGAGTCTGGCTCTGTCGCCCAGGCTGGAGTGCAGTGGCCGGATCTCAGCTCACTGCAAGCCCCGCCTCCCGGGTTTACGCCATTCTCCTGCCTCAGCCTCCCGAGTAGCTGGGACTACAGGCACCGCCACCTCGCCCAGCTAGTTTTTTGTATTTTTTAGTAGAGACGGGGTTTCACCGTGTTTGCCAGGATAGTCTCGATCTCCTGACCTCGTGATCCGCCCGTCTCGGCCTCCCAAAGTGCTGGGATTACAGGCTTGAGCCACCGCGCCCGGCCTGTTTTTTATTAAAAAGGAAACCTTACTGAGGACTCTCTTACCTTTGCTAACTGTCTAAATAATTTCTTTTTCACTCCTGAATCACTGGGATGAAGAGAGGTAGGTTAACAGGTACAGACATACAGTTAGATAGTAAAGTATAAGTTCTATTTTTTTTTTTTTTTTTTTTTTTTTTTGAGACGGAGTCTCGCTCTGTCGCCCAGGCTGGAGCGCAGTGGTGCAATCTCTGCTCATTGCAACCTCCACCTCCCGGGTTCACGCCATTCTCCTGCCTCAGCCTCCCAAGTAGCTGGGACTACAGGTGCCCGCCACCACGCTTGGCTAATTTTTTGTATTTTTAGTAGAGACGGGGTTTCACCGTGTTAGCCAGCATGGTCTTGATCTCCTGACCTCGTGATCCACCTATCTCGGCCTCCCAAAGTGCTGGGATTACAGGCGTGAGCCACCATGCCCCGCCCAAGTGTTTGACAGCAGAGCAGTGACTATAATTAACAAGAAGGTATGATATATTTCAAAGTAGCTAGAAAAAGGGACTTAAATTGTTCCCAACACATAAAAATGATAAGTACTCAAAGTGGTGGATACCTCAGATGCCCTGGCTTGATCGTTACACATTCTAGGCAAGCAACAAAGTATCACATGTACTCATAAATACCTAAGATATTATGTATCAATAAAAGCAATAAAAAAACAGAACCAAAGAAAATAAAACAGAAGTAACAAGTTTTGCTGAAGGTGTGGAGATGATAACCCATGTATGTTTCTGGTGGGGATTTAGGATGGTGCAGCTGCTTTGGAAAAACAGTTTGGTGGTTCCTCTAAAAGTTGAACATAGAATTACCATATCACCCAGCAGTTCCACTCCTTAGTATATACCCCAAATAACCGAAAACAGTTATTCAACCCAAAATGTGTCCACCAATATTCATAAGAGTACTATTCACACCAGCCATCTAAACCAAAAATTAAATTAGAAATCCTGGCCGGGCGCGGTGGCTCAAGCCTGTAAACCCAGCACTTTGGGAGGCCGAGACGGGCGGATCATGAGGTCAGGAGATCGAGACCATCCTGGCGAACACAGTGAAACCCCGTCTCTACTAAAATATACAAAAAATTAGCCGGGCGCGGTGGCGGGCGTCTGTAGTCCCAGCTACTCGGGAGGCTGAGGCAGGAGAATGGCATGAACCCGGGAGGCGGAGCTTGCAGTGAGCTGAGACTGTGCCACTGCACTCCAGCCTGGGCGACAGAGCTTGACTCCGTCTCAAAAAAAAAAAAAAAGAAATCCTTTCCTGCCCCCCAAAAACCATCTGAATGGGCTTCCCTTTTGGCCAGGGCACTCTCAATTTAACCAGAAAGACTAGTTCAGGCTATGGTGGGAAGTGGGGGGTCTGACATGCCTCCTTATGCCCTCCTCCCTTTTGGAGTTCAGGAAAAGCC